ATACAATCAGCAACTGGCTGTCAAATGAAACAAAGAAAGTACAATTCTACAACATTTCAACAATGTTTAATTATTTATTATTACGTTTTAATTATTTTTCACAAAGATGTAGTTTAAGGTTCGTCCTTTTTCTTTGTCCTTATTTACATTTTACAGATTTACAGATTAAAATTACTGTGCTGTAAATACAAGAAAAGTTGCGCCAGATTAATCAATCTAAAATCTAGTAATAGACCAGGGTCTGCCTAGTAGTGACGTAGTGTGTATGGTTTCTGGCTATCATGTCAGAGGGAATCAGTTCCTGTGTGGTCACAGCTGTAGATAACTTGCATTTAGATGTGTTTGCCTACTTGATAACATGTTAGTCAAAATATAGACAGTCTGAGTGTTGAATTTGAATCAATTGATATTTTGATGGTGAAGGAACTTTACTCGAATGCCAGTCAAATTTCTGTTTGTTTAAATGGGCTTCATCTGATAAAAGTGGCTTTATCTTGTTTAATGCTAGCAAACATGTTGATAAGCAATATAGGAGCGAGCCGGCTAACATTAGCTTCCTGACTATATGAATAAATTGGGGTCTTGTCCAGGACTGTGGCGTCATTCAGAGGCCTGAGACCCTCAGAGTATTTTCACAAACCGGTGAGGTGACACTGAGCTACAAGGTTTCACTTCCTGTACCTGCCAGCTGTGACACATCTGCAACAGTTTGCTGACAGACTGTGAACATCATATTTCCCATGTGGCTAAAATGTTGAAGTGCTCTTCTGCCCCTCCCCCACCCTGTTTTTCTTTGCTCTCTCGCTGCAGATCGCCCACTTGCAGAGCGTGTGCGACAAGAAGAGTGTGTGTGTGCGCGAGCTGCAGCAGAATCAGGAGTGTGTGTTGTCCCGTCTGGAGGAGAGCGTGAGGAGGAGGGAGGAGGAGTGGAGCAGACAGCACACGCACACTGTGAGGGGGCTGCAGAGCGAGCTGCAGGTAACACTCACATACACACACACTCATCCCTGGGGTGTTTCAGCGCCTCGTGTACGTCAGTCACGTCGCCCTGCAGCGACAGAGGCACTGTGAGCTGAATCAGCAGGATGGAAGCAGAAAGATTTCAGTTATCAGTCCCTTTGGTCAGATTCTCCGAAGAGACGAGACGACAGATACAAAAATCATCTGTTCACTTCCAACTTTGTTGTCTCCGAAAGCATAAAATTCTCTGCAGCAACATTTACAACAGCAGAAAAAGTTCACCGAAGAGTGAAGAGCAGAAAAAGGCAAAGCTTAATAGGGATTTGTTACAAAGTTATTACAAGCTTTGTGTCACTGAGCAGCGTCACACTTTACACGTTTTTTCTCATGAAAACGCAGTAAATGCGAAAGCAGAGAAGAAAAGACATGTTGACACATTTCATGTTTAATGTAAAAGAAAATAAGTAGCTTTGTTTAACCGTGTAAACAACTGTCACCATTAAAAATACAACAAGCTTTTATTTCAGTCACTGAATCCATTTCA